ACTTCATACATCGGATAGCTCTTAGAAGGTTGTAACGCTATTGCGAATAGAACTGATACGTTTTGTATCTTGATCGACTGTGATGTCGTCGTCGTCGTCGTCGTCTGTATGTTCTTCATTACCATCAGCTATTACAGCAATATTCAAAAATGGAAAAAGACGAGAAAAATGTCATGCAGAACCAACAGCCAAAACTCTATTTAAAATTCTTATTCCTGTTCCTCGTGGAATGGCTTTTGGGGGAAGAAATTGTCGTAAGCGATTGTAAAGTTCCATGCAAGTCACTAACATTCGTTGAGACAGTGCACATTTACATTCGTTGCTATGTCGATTACATGAATATTCCAGAAAAGAAGTGTATACGTTTAAGTTGAGAAAAGGAAAAGGAAAATCACAATGTTCTAGCCCCAAGTGCACGCGTATGAAACACATGAGGAGGAAATGGCAATAGCAGCATATCGTCTGACTCTCTACTCGAATGTCTCATGTATGAATATTTCATAATTTTACTTGTAAAACAAACTCGATCGTTCAAAATATCAAAATCTCTGAAACTATCATCGCCCGGGTATGTTTAAAGGGATCCGACTCAAGTCTCGTGTCTAGTGTTCATGCTGCAAATGCAATATATGCAGCATTTGAGCTACTCGTGTTTTTTTTACTTCTTTCTTTTGTTGCCTAATTCAGATAAAACGCTCGTTTGGTGATGATAACAGAGCGATTTTTTTTTTCTACGACTGTTGTTGTGTACTTCGAAGCGAATTGAATGTCGATGAGTAGACGGGTGTAGATAAAATATTACTTGCCAGCTTTGCTTCTTCAAGTCTGACCCCGTTTTTTTTTGTTGTTCGGCGAATATTTTTGCATTACATAACATCGGTCTCTCTGGATTCGGAGGGAATTATTTTGAGCACATTTTTATGTGACATTATGTTTTGCATCAAGTTATCTCATTCGCCGCAGAAAGTGGTCTACATTCTTCTTGCTCCATAGCTCTCACACACAACCACATGGCAAATATATTCATTTTCGAAAATTGCATCATATTCACATACGGTCACATACACAAATGCCACAGACTCACTTCTTCAGCGGCAACCAAAGAGTTTTGTGGCTCTTTTGACCCTGCCGACATAGAGAGTCGAGCACTGAAATATAAAAACAATATATACAAAAACCACTCCAGAAAAATATACTCAACAACAACAGAAGCAGTAGCAACGATATCATTGGCAGTAGCAGCAAATTCACTCTTTATGAAAATTAAATTTATTTTGGGGAGTGTTTTCCGGGTGCAATTCCATTTCGTTTTTTTTTTTAATTTATCGCATTCGCTCTTGGCAAATATGAAAATGTACATCGTTCGTACGATGTGAAATTGATTTAATCAGTTTAATAGAAGTTATAAAAATGGCAAAAATGTTTCATTCGACCCGAAATTGTTTGGTGAAGAGCATTCCCACAGCGCACAACCGCCTTGTCTCTCATTCAAAACTAGCAATTTCTCTCTTGCAACACACAACACATGATGCATATTATGTAGAAAACATTTTTGAAAGTCTCCATTCAATTAGAAAGCGCTTCCCCCACATTGGTTGCAACTCGGCAAATTATTTTTCATGTCATAACACAGCTTTTCTTTTCATTACTCTAAAACTGTCTGAGAAGCGAACGCATCCTTAAATGCATTCACAATGAAGTGAAAACTATGTGTGCAATCGTTGAATGCATCCGGCCTGTGACACGATATACTCTCGGCTTCTTTGCATGTTACAAGTAATGGATTATTTGATGACTCCGGTGTGCATTGTTGCATCAGAAAAGAGGGCTGACGGAATAAGAAGAAGAAGAAGAAAAAAACGCCAGTGCCGATGAATAGAGTATTCAAGTAATATGACAAAATGGCTGAATGTTAGCAAGTGAAACTTATGCTGGCAATATGCACTGGGTCAATAGTAATACAATGAAAACGCTTTGCCATTGATTTATGCGGTTGAGCAAGCAGCTACAACTTCATTATAGCAAATGTGTACAGTCTATTTAGGCCATGCACAATGACTTGCATTTATTGAGATTCTCTTTTAAGTTGAATATTCTATGCGAAAGACTGAAATCAAATCATTCAATTTCTTTTGTGTGCAATCCAATGGCTTTGATAGCAGAATTTACTTTGAGGCAAATCTCAACCAATGCATCAGAAGCGACTTCTTAAACTGGAAGCAGAGCTCCATTTTTTTTTTATTATTAACTATAATATTTTTATGATCAACTACAAACCAATTTACCTCCTCATTTATTCACTTCACAGATGGGCGTTGGCATTTAATTTGTAATAGTTTGATTTCATATCGCTCATTTCAGTGTGCGCCTTTTTTTTCTTCATTGCAAAGCGTCAAACGTTGTGCACATAAAATGCGCCAAATACATACGACCGCTCTGTCGGGAGAGTATCACGCAGGTTTTTCACTCGTTTCGCTTGATGCTGTTCTCGATAAAATGTCTCATTCATGTAGTGATTCATTTGAAAAGCCATAAAAAGTCGTTTTATACCACTTTTTCGATAAAGCGAATGCAATTTATTTTTTATTTACATTGAAACAGTTTATAAGAACACACACACAAAAAGAGAATATATATGGTCCAGCGTCTAAGGACGAGATGTCGCAATCAATTTCCCATTGTGCTTCGCATTTGAACCGCTACAAGAGAACCAAATCGGAAAATCTGATTCGTTCTCGAACGAACGGGACAAAAAAATATGAACGAACACGAAAAAGAAGCAACAAAGATCGTAAGCGCAAAACTTGGCGAAAAAAAAATTGTCGAATGAACCAAAGTGAAATCTAATGCCGTACGCTATTATTCACGTGCGATTTCCATCCAAGATTGTTCGATTCCATAAATTCCAAACAAATTGTTTGTGATTTTAGAAATATGTGTGTTTGTGTGTGCGGGCGGTTTTTTCTCCTTCTCTCTCTCTCTATCTCTTTCACTCGGTGTTTCACATCTCAAGTTACTTTTTCTTGTCGCTGGATTTAACAGTGCATTGACGAAGGCAAAAAAAAACGTAAAGAGTAAGCACAACGTAATCGAGATCGATTTATTCCACATGGTGCGGTCAAACATCCAACGTGATGTCAATAAATTGCCAGGAATTTTTCTATTTTCTTGTTGGCCGGTTTTATTTTGCTTCATTTTTGTTTTTCATTCGCTTGTCGAGAGTGCAATAAAGTGCTTGAAAACGAGTTGAACAACAAGTCTGAAGGACGAACAACTTGAAAAAGCGTAGTTCATCTCATTTTTATTTCCAAAAGGATTGGCAATCATTGCCTTTGTAATAAGTAAATAATTTATTAGTGAGTTTTTGTAGCAGGTTTTTTTTTCATCGGAATTTTATCGTTTGATTTCAAAATGTTGCTTTTTTTCGCTGTGTTCAAAAGATGTTTCAATTTACGTCTGATTGTCACATATAAGGATCCTATACTCGGTGCGTCTATCGTTTGATTTTTTTTCCCTCCAAACTTTGTGTCGTTTGATGACATTGCTTTTGTTGTTGCTCATAAACGAACTGTTGCCGAGGAACGACATAAATACAATTCGTTGAATAGGTGTTTCTTGTGTCGTTTTGTTTACATTGTTTGGTGGATGTTACTGTTTTGTGCGAGTGAGTGAGTATTTATGTGGTGAATTTTGTTCACCGTCACGTGCTCTATATTTGATACTTTACATCATACGCGAATACGCAAACGAGCAATGCATCAAGCAATCAACATTATCAAGTACTTTGGAAACAATGGCAACGAAAATTGCTCGGGAAATAAAATCAATACGGTAACGAGAAGAGATTTACTTCAAAAATTCACGTACGCCACTTCAACTCGTTGCTGGTGATGTGTGTGTGTGTGTGTTTCTTATTTCGCGTGCGTCGTCTCATTTGGTATGAGCATAAGAACACGATTGTATGAGCACCTGCCGTTTACGTTGAACGACACTAGTGAATGGAGCGTCATTTTTCCACCACGTTCAGCTCCTGTTAAGCGCTCGCCTTTTTTCTCCATTGTTCAGAGATGAACGATGAAACAAAGTGCATTTATACATGAATGAAAGAAAACAATGTGCATTTCCTGAACGAAACACGTTCCCATTCACCAATAACTGTAACGAGCCATCTCTGCATTTTGATTTACATTTATGTGCCAGAATCACACTTTGTTGCAACGCGCGCGTGTGTGTGTGTGTGTGCTGCGACTCTCACTATTATTACTGAACAATGGAATGAGGGAATTACTTTCCATTATCACAACCGTCATTATTTTTATATTACAAGGTTTTATGCACAAAACATGTGAAATGCATTGGATTTTTTCTTGCGCATCGGTATCGCATCGGTATCGCATCGAAACCAAAGGAGAGAGAGAAAAAGGGAATCTATAGTACAATGTACAATGTTTCGATATATGTACTAGGTGCTCAAGTGCCAATCACCAACGAAATTGAGGAAATCAATGGAAGGCGTACGACAATCGTGTACATTACTATGTAGTGAAATTTCCCTTCTGAAAAATGCCACTGAAGGAATTCTTAATGCTTCCTCTTATCACATCACGAAATGCTTCGCGTTTCAAAGCCAACGAAATTTCATTTCGATTTCGTTTGCGACTTTATCCAAATCTCTAATGCGCTTTCAATAATTTCCTCTTTCGTTCGTGTACGAGCGATTTGGCAATGATGAACTTGGATGAGTAAATTGAAGTGTCAGAAAGCAGCAGCCGAATCACGTGTGTGTGTGTGTGTGTGTGTGTGTATGCAATGGCATCGTTGAATATTCCGTTTTTCGTACGGCAGCAGAACTAGAAAACTATTTTACATATGAATTGAAATCGATTTGTTCCACAAAGAAACCTTACAATATGCTTTGAATCTTTTCAATTTAAGAATCTGTAGGAATAAGGTGCGAAAAAAAAATTAACGATTTTATTCGTTTTTTTTTCTATTTCCAGTGAAAAGGCTGACTTGAAATCACGTTCGGATAGCATTGGCATTGGCGTTGGACCGCCACATTTAGACTCGATATATACGACACCGTCTGGATTCCACCATCATGCCCATCATCATTCGCAGGGCTCACCAGAAGCAATGAAGGTACGAATGGCTGCAATGGTTTTACAGCCACCAACACGTGTCTAGCAGACACTAAATTATGAGACTCATCACGATAAAGAACCAAATCAAGAGCACGATCAACTCCTTACTCCCACTTCAACTTCCAAATTGCACCAACCGTCTGCCACTAATAATAATAATAATAATGATAATAATAACCAATTGAATGTTTGCAACAGAGAATTCGATGAGATTATGAATGGTGGCGATGAGCACCTAACTAGGGACAGTAGCCAAAGTAGTTGTAGCAATAATGAGAAAGTAGCAAATACCATCGATGCGGATGAGTCTCATAAATTGCTAATGCAATTGGACGACGATGAACAAATGAACGATGATAATATAAATAAGAGTACTAGTCGTAATCAAGCGAATCGCAAAAGTGGTCATAATGATATTATTGAATTCGATTTAACAAACGCATTAGTTTCGCCGACAAATCCATTCCGTTTGGATTTCATTCAGTTTGAACGGTGTCGGTCAATGAATGCAAGCGCTGGCGAAACGATGCGCACAAAACCGAATAACAACAAAAACAATAACAGCAACAGGAACAGCGGCGAACAACACGATAGCATCAATCGAAATGTTAGAATGAAAATTAGCGAAATAGTTGATTTGGCCGATGGCAAAAATCGATACAATGATATTAAATATCAACGAAACTCAAAATCATTAGGCTATTTATTGTTATGTAAACGAATCGAATGCAATTGTAGCTCTAGCTCTAGTTGTAACTGTCTAATGCGAGTAAATTCATTAGGCTTGCGTAGAACAAAATCCAGTACGGGTATAAACCATTGCAAGTGGAGCAATGAAATCGATGACAAAACAAATGCAGACGAGACTCTTGCGAATTCCAATGTAATGACAAACAAATCGAAGGATAATTCAATGACCGCAAATAATAGTAAAATTATAAAAGCAGGCGGCACAAACAAAGGCATTTTATCGCGACATTTGACAAATGCCACCAAACGAAATCATTTCAAAAACGAATTTCGCCAACAGACTTCATTATGTCTGCCATCGCCACAACAAAAACCATTCCATTCACAACACACGACAATAGCCGCAGAGACCAAAACCGTGGAATTGGTTAATTGTAACAGTGAAATAAATGCTAAACATCATCCATTGAACGATGGAGCAAATGATACGAAAGTAAACAACAATAACCTTCAAGCGAATGCACACAAAACCAATGCAAACAGTGCGTCTAATGACCACCGAAATCATACAAATTCGTCGATTGTCAATAATGACGCAGACATATTTTCACTTAATTCGAAGGCGTGTATTGACAAAACAATCGATGGTTGCGAGTCGGTCGAGCATGGTGATGGTGGGCAATCGATGACGAGGCCAACGCGTCAATTATTTATGAACGAAAATTGGAAATCAAATGACAACGAACAACAAAATCGATCGATAATTGAAAAATGGTCGAGCCCAACGATTGAACATGATTTAGTGGTGAATGCATTAAGAGCATCGAGCAGCACCAATCCATTTTTGGAACAGGGAATCAATGTAGCAGAAAGCCGCGTTAGCAAAAATTCAAATGGCAAAGGAGCCAACTACGACGCTAACAGCGGCGTCGGCGGCGATGAAACGAAAAGGTGTGAGACGGCACAGCGAAATGGCAAAATTCATGCATCTAATGATGTGGAAGAAACAATTTCGAATCAATTTATTACTAATGATGACACAATTTCAGCGAATGCGACATGTAAATCGAATCAGTTGAGCACATCGGGCGATAATGAACGGAATATTGGTGAAAATGGTAAACGAGATTTATATTATAGTGAATCGTGTTCGATGCGAACGAAGCATCGACAAAAACACGATCGAATGACGGATAATTTATTGGAGTACGAGAATGAGAATGACGACAGTAATCAATGGGATGCTGGTTCAAATCGTAGTGCAACGCTAATGAAATACGGAAACAAAAAGCGTGGTCGACGCAAAGACGTGAACAAAGATGGTGTGCGGAAGCACAATCACAGCATCGACAATTTATCATTGATTGACGGAACCGGTCATCATCAAATGCGTTACATTGAACCGAGTAAATTGGGACGGAACCAGGCATATCACTATGATAAAAACCTAAAATGCCAGCCAACTGCGGGAGACAATAGTTCGCAAAAAAATCTTAATTACTTCAATGAATTGGATCAGCAGCCGATTAACGATGATAAGCAAGATCATCGACAACCGCATTCCTATTCAAATTACAAGAAAAACCAGCACCAGCACCATCACCACCACCAGCAACAGCAGCAGCAGCAGCACATCATGAGTGCTATAAGTGACATACCAACGTGTCCATTCCAACGACAGGACTATACAAAACCAGACAATGAACACCAAACCGATGCCAGTCACACATACAAGAAATCGAAAAAGGATTTGCTACTGAGTTTTGCATTGCAAAAGGGGAAATACTTGAGCAACACCATCAGTCGAAGTGGTGTGAGTGATCGGGCAAGCGATTGCAATGGTATTCGAAAGACAGGCAATTACATGAAAACCGTAAACATATCAAATAACAGTATTCCAGGCGCCGCAAGAACACTAACGAATGCCACAACAATAACTCATGTTTCTGGTAAAGGCTCCCACTTGAAGAAGCCAAATGTTGTCTATGCAAATCGATTGGTTGCACCAACGAATACCAAGCAACATTCATTCCATTTCCGGCACAAAGACGACAAAACGTATTTTGACAAAACGAAGAAGAGCCTCCTGAAAATTGGACAGAAATGTGGCTTGAAATTGAATAACAGTTTGAGTGGTGGCATTTCAACGAAGAAATATGAAACGTCTTCGTTACGAGAACCACTCACCGCATTGGATCGAGATGGTCATCGCCACACAGTTCGACCAGTCATCGTTGAAAAGGTTCCGTACAAGAGTTATCGTTCGGAAATGGATTTAACCAAGAATTTACATTATCTCGATGCATTTCTCAATGAGAATTTCGACAAATTGTCAAAACCAAAAGAAGGCAGCCATTCAATAGGCAAGTGTTCGATGGCAATGTCATCTTCACGAGAACGAAAAAGTCTGAATGCGATGACATTCAATGATTTCCATAAACGAGGCCATCACCGAACGCAATCATTTTCCGAAATGTCTGAATTTGATGGCGTTGATGACTCTTATCCGATGCACCGAAATGCAGCTGCTAATGCTGCAGCAGCCGGTGCTCGACGCACCAGCGAAATCGTAACAATGGGAAATTCATTAGAAAATAATTACACAACCACGGACACTATGTCATCGGCATGGGCTAAACGAGAGTTTTTGGTAAGTAGTGCAAATAATAGTGTTGGATATCGGACACCGAGCATCAACGACAACTTGAACTCAATAGGTCAACATCATCAAAGCAACCAATACGTCATTAGCAGCAGTACGAGTGAATCTTTTTCATATAAACAACCTTCGTTGCCGAATCAATCGCCGAATCCGCAGTCGGCTATTGCCGCTGTAAGCAATCAAAAATTTACATTTACAAAAGAGTTGCAGGCTACGAACCATGCAAATGTGAGCGCATTGTCCAGTTGCGAACGAAGCGCAAAGAGTCAAACCACTTCAAGTTCGTTGAGTAGCAGTGACTATGCGTCTGTTTATAGTCCGGGTAGTGAACAGCACTATCAGACGCAGACGAAGCTCAATAATGAGTTGTCGTTGAAACAAAAACGCTATCCACCAATTAGTAGTAGTGTTCAGTACCAGAAACGGAATAGTTTCACTGGAGCCGATTTGATTTGCGATGATCGGCTGACAGCTGCCAACTACTTAAGCGAAACGAGGCCATTGAATTGCATCGATGGTCTAGCGGCAGATAGTATTGCAACTGAAAGTGATAGCGATGATGATGATGATGACGAAGACGATGATGAGGATGGGGATGAAGAGGATGACGATGACGAAGAGAATGTTGCAAATAATTCCAACGATTTCAACGAGTGTACCAATTACACTCGCAATACATCCCATCCCGATAAACTGCAGCTACTTGAGAAGAGTTTGTATCAATATGAAAATAAATTGCCGTATCACGAAGACTATTTGCAACACTACTACAGTAAAAGTGGATCGAAACAGGCGTCCACATCGAGTGCTTCGATACAAAGCCAAGTACAATTCGCATCGCTGGCATCGTCATACCCGTATTCGCAAGAGTCTCATCTGAATTATGCACAATCGACATCAAACTTACCGAGTGGCAGTACACATCCGTACTATGCACAAGAAGTAACAATTCGCAAACAACCAAATTATCCACAAAATCGAGTCGTTATCACCAAACAAAAGAATAACCATTCGAATTCAAGTGACGTCGTACTCGAATACGAATGCTAAAAGTCAAGAATTTTTTCTATTTCGTTCTTTCTTTTATGGGCATTGAATGTTGTACATAATAATCAATTTCGTTTAACTTGTAAGCCCAACACATCCCATCAGAAAGGAAACGAAACAAACGAGAAAAAAAATGATATCGAAATCAAAACAAACATCTGACAATAATTACATTACATAAACGAATTCATAATCATAATTCTTTAGCATTTTAACTTATTATACTAATGGCAACTTAATCTTAGTCACAAGAAAAGGAGATACATTTTAAAAGAAGAAATATTTTTTAGAGGACATGACACAATTATTTAAATTTAATGGAGAAGCAAAGAAATATGTGTAACATATTCAATTGAAGTGGCGAGTTGTAAATTTTTGAAGCGATAAGAAATTTGTTCGCTTGTAAACTATATAAATACATATATATATATATCAGTTTGATTTAAAAACGGAAAATATAGATAAAAAAGAAGGAAATTCTACGGATAATTTTGAGCTTCCATGTCAAAAAATCATGAGACATTGATTTTAATTTTCAACGAAACAAATAGAAATCAAATATAATTGTAGCGTTTATATCATCGAGCTGAAGGATTTTT